AGGTGCGACTCTGCGGCTGGTAGCAGGTGTGTGCACGCACGCTTTACTGAGTCTGAAAAATCCCATGAATGTTACGAACACTCAGACTCCTGACCCAGCGGTTGAGTTTCTAAGAATTTGTCCTGTGACTCCCCACAGCACTGACTGTGTGAGCAAAAGCTGGAAATGGTGTAAAAGTGCAGAGGACACAAAGCAATGAAGCCGTCAAAAAGACTGAGTAGGTTGCCTGGGCCCATGTGGGATGGTCTCCAAACATGTGCCGAGTAGGATAGGAAAAGGGGAAATGTGTGTGTGTACCCACGCATCCATGCGTGACTGCTCAGGAAGGATACTGGGACTTGCCAAAACGGGGTTGTTTCCTCTGGGGACCTGGGGGTTGAGCCATGGGTGGGAGAAAGACTTTTTTTTTTTTAAGATTTATTTATTTGAGAGAGAAGGAGAGAGCGAGCGAGCACGAGCAGGAGGGGGAGAGAGAAAGAGAGGAAGAGGGAATCTCATGCAGACTCCACGCTGAGTGCAGAGCCCGACGTGGGGCTTGATCTCAGGACCCTGAGATCATGACCTGAGCTGAAACTAAGAGTCGGATGCTCAACCAACTGTGCCACCCAGGCGCCCCATGAGACTTCTTTTACTATATGCCCTTTGGGACCTTTTGAATCTTTTTACCTTGGGTATGTATCACCGATTCAAAGCCTAACAGCCACACAGTTTGACAGGTGGACAAGGGAAGGGCAGAGATTTCCTGGCAGAGGGATGGAAGCTGGGTGATCAGATCACACCTAGGAGCAGGACCAGCCATGTGGTTGGTCAGGGCTCCAGGCCAGGGCTGGCACTGGGTCCGCTCAGCCCAGGAGCCCCTTATCAGAAATCCTCCACTCCGAGTTCATTGCCCTCAGGCACCATCCTCTCCCCACAATCACAGCACAGGTTTGGGGGTCAGACTGGTCATGCCATGCCCCTCCAACGCTTCCCTGCTGTTCGCATAAAGATGACCATGCCTGCCACACCCTGCAGGATCTGGCCTCCACCAACCTCTCTGGCTGATTCTCCAGGGGAAGTTGGAGCTGGGGATGGAGTGCTAAAGAGTTTGGACTTAGCAGTAATACCATAGGATTTCAGTCATGTGCGGAATTTAAGAAACAAAACAGAGGAACATAGGGAAAGATAAAATAAGACGAAAACAGGGAGGGAGGCAAATCATAGGAGACTCTTAACTCTAGGGAACAAAGTGAGGGTTGCTGGAGGGGAGGGGGGTGGGGGGTCGGGGTCACTGGGTGATGGGCATTAAGGAGGCCACATGATGTAATGAGCACTGGGTGTTGCATGCAACTGATGAATACTGAATTCTACCTCTGAAACCAATAATGCGGTATATGTTAACTGAATTGAATTTATATAAAAAATTTTTAAAAAGGAGTTTGGACTTAGTTCTGAAGGCAATAGAAAGCCACTGAAGCTTCAGTCAGCGGGCCCAAGATTACCCAGAAAACTGGTCGCAGATCTGGGAACACGTTCTCCTGGTCCCAGTCAGCCAACCACCAGTGAGGACACTCTTCTTACTGGTTAGCTTGTAGACAACTCTTACTTCACAACGGGCCTGGGGCTCTCTCTCTAAACATCATCTCCTTTACACTTTACCACAACATCTTGAGGCAAGAAATCTCTTCTGCATTTTACAAATGCAGGAATCAAGGCTCAGACAAGTTCAGGAACTTGCCCAAAGTCTCAACACCGTTAAGTGGAAAAGTCAGGATTTGAATCCAGGTCTGTCAGACTCCAGAGTCCGTACTGGGCCACTGCCTATTTATCTTATCTTTTCCTGTAGAGAAAGAAATGACTGTTTGGGCTTTTCAAAGAGATGGTGTGATTGCCTGGGCATCTGCAACATGAAACACTTCCTTCTTCGCAATAGCATTAATGTTAGTTTTTTATCTTTGTGGTTGTAGACTTCTAACCCCTTCCCGGCAGTGGGCTGGACATTTGGTCAAAAAAACATCCAGCCCACTGCCAGGAAAGGCTTTTGGTCGAGGCTGTTCTTTAGAGAGAAAGGTCCCAGATCCCAGTCATCTGAACTTTGGTCCCACCTTTCATTTCCTCCTGGGGCCCAAAACCACGGATTGTGTTTGCTTCTGTCCTCAAGTGTGTCTTGTTCCAAGCACTGCAGCCCCCTTGGTGGGGCCCCTCTGCACAAGCTGAGAGGTGAACAGATCTGAAGGTCGTCTGGGATTTGGGGTCGCTCGGCACAGGTTGGGGAGAGCCCCACCCACTCCTTAGTCCACAGTGGGGAGGTGGGATCAAAGTGGACATTCTATTGTGATGAATGCTATCACCTTGGCATCTCACTGAGGGGGACACGAGGTCCACACACTGGACCACAAGCAGGGACACTGATCACTTCTATTTGCTGAGCACCTACAGATAGTTTACTATCTCTGTGAGGCCAAGATTATTATTATTCGTGTTTGACAGATGGTGAAACTCAGGTTCAGAGAGGTTCAGATCACTTTTCAGGTGCACACAGCTAGTAAAGAGGCAGGCAGGGCTTGGAACCAGGCCTGGCTCCACAGTCTCTGAGTGTCCAAGACATGCATCTGGTCTAGCTCATTCCCTATTTGTGTGACCAGTTCTCATTGAGGTGTCTTCTTATCAGTGAGAGACCCCGCGCTGTTTGCCTGGCCTCTGCTAATGGTTGATGTGGGAACCTGAAGCCACATTTGGTGACAACAAATTCCCTTAGTTATTGTTTGTCTGAGAAAGTCTTTATTTCTCCTTCATTTTTTGTTTCAATTAAGGTGAAGATCGCATAACAGAGAGTTAACCATTTCAAAGTGTATAATTCAGTAGCATGCAGTACATTCACAATGTTGTAGTTCCAAAACATGTTCATCACCCCACAGAGAAACTCCATGCTCATTAAGCAGTCACTCCCCATCCCCTCTTGTCCTGGTCCCTCCCAACTACCAACCTGCTATCTGGCTCTTTGGATTTGCCTATTCTAGATATTATGGGCACGAAGGGCATGTAAAATTGGGAAGTGTGGGGCTAGGGGAGACCTCTGATTCTCTTTTCCACCCCCTGGCTCCTTTTCATCCGCCTAGATGCTCAGCTAAATACTTAGGCATCACCCTTGACCTCCAACCTACCAGCAAGCCTGGGGACTCTGAAATGTGTGTATCTAGGAAGTGGCTACTTTCCTTGGCCTCTGCCACCATCCCAGGGTTAGTCTAAGCCAGCATCATCTCTTGCCTGGACTTTTGTGACCGCTCTCCACTGGCCTCCCTTCTCTCTTGCCAACGCTGTACCATGACACCTCCCCTTGGCCCACAAGACCCCATGGGCCCTGTGCCCTACCTCGCTGGTCCCCTACATTATGCCCGAGGCCTCAGTGGGCACCTGGCTATCCTGACCTCGCTCCAGTGCCGTGGGCATGCCCCTCGCTCCTCCTTGGGGCTCTGCTTGTGCTGTGCTGTTGACCTGCACATTCCAATCACAAATGTCAATTCCACAGAGGGGCCGTCCTTGACCCCCCGAAGCAACTCTCTTCACCTCTATCATATCCCTCCATTCCACTTCCCACGGATTTTTTTTTTTTTCCTGGAACTTTTCTTGCTTTCCCTACTTGTTCCCTATTTCTCTCTCCCCACTGGAACGTGGGTGCCATGAGGGCCAGGGTCTACTCTGTCTTGTTCCCTGACAGGCACTTAGTGAGGGCTCAATTAATACTGACTAGATAGACTAAATGTATGTTGAAAACAACCATCATAACAATATAATATCCCATTTACTGGGCACTTTGAAGGTGCCAAGTGATGTTCTAAGTACCTTATATACTTTATCCCATTTAATCTCTGCAACAACCCTATTTTGTGGATTCCATTATTCATTTCCATCTTCTAGATAAGTAAATTGAGGTTTATGGTGTTTGATGACTTGGCCAAAGTCCACGGACAGCAGTGGCTTGGCAAGTGTGGGAAAGGCCTGGGGAAGAGCGAGTTGGACTGGGCCAAATGAAAATTCTGCCTTGGTTCTTCTGAGGGAGGTGAGACCCGTATTGCCAATGTTTGCAGGGGGGCCCAAATCTCTGCCATCCAGGGGGCAGGGGTGGGGTGGAGAGGGCACAGGGTTGGCAATTTGGACCCTGAGTTTGAGTTCCTGGTATGACCCCGACTGGCTGTGTTACCTCCATCAAGTCCCATACCCTCAGGTTTCTCAGCAGACAAGTGAGGAGATGGGCTTAGAATATCTCAAAGGTTTCTTCCAACAACTTTATGTATGCGTGTATGTGTAGAGGGGGTGGGAAGGATAGAATCATGAGCTCCCAAAATAACAACATAGGAGTGTTCTGTGTGGAAACTACATTCAGTGGTCACCCCGTGGCCAAGAACCCCTTCTACGGCATCCCTGAAAGGTAGTCAGCCCCGATCGCCTTGCATACCTCCAATGATGGGGGACTTACTATCTCAGAAATTATTTGCCAGCCAGTCACAGCCATTTAAAGACATTACAGAGCCCTACACACTCTTTGTTTTGGAGGCATACCCCCCTGCATAATAAATGCGTTGTAATAAATGCATATTCCAAAGAAAAGAGAATGTGTACTTAGCTATTTAGTATAATGAGCTGTCACTGACCAGCTGTCATGGTGACACAATTGTAGAAGGCCAATTAAACATTTATTACTTGCAATTTTGTGGTTTTCTTTTTGTATTTCAGATCTGGTGTGTGTGTGTGTGTGTGTGCGTGTGTGCTCCTGTATGAGTTTGCAGGCATCTTTTGTAGGTTCCTTAAAGCTCTGAAGCCCCATAGAACAAAGTCCCCTTTTCCAGGCAGCTTGAGAGAGCTCCTTGTTCTCCTGAGTTTTTGCTCCTTTCTGAGCAAGCAGCCCTCGGGCCTCCACCTGGACTCCTCATCACCATCACTGTCACCACCGCCCTGCCCATCACGGCTGCCATCAGCGGCCTGGCCACCCTCATCTCCATCCCTGCATCGCCTCCCCTTACCTCCAGCCACCGCCGCCTCGGGAGCCAGGCACGGGAGCTGCCCCCACCATCTCGGGATCTCCCTCCGTCTCTGTTCTTCTTTCCCCCAGCCTCACTCCAGGTTTTGCCCTTGCAACAAGGTACACCTGCTCCTCCACGCGACAGTCCTGCCCCCAGCTGGGTCACCTTAACAATGGCGGCAGCAAACAGCTAGCATTTGCCGGGAACATTCACACACACTGGCTATCTTACATAATCCTCTCTGTCCTCTCCCACTTTCCATGGCCCCTCCACATGCCCATGGCCTCATTTCAGGTCCCGCAGGAGAATGCTATGGAGCACTCGGGGAGGTCACTCTGACCCCGTTTTGCAAATGTGGCACAGAGAGGCCAGCTGCCTAGGCGAGGTCACACAGTTGGTCAGAGGCAGGCAGAGCCGTCTCTGTCTCTCATTCCCCACAGCTTACCCTGTCCCCCACCTCCTGTGTTTCTTTTTTTTTTTTTTAAGATTTTATTTATTTGAGAGAGAGAGACAGAGATAGTGAGAGAGAGCACAGCGGGGAGCAGAGGGAGAAGCAGGCTCCCCGCCGAGCAGGGAGCCCGATGTGGGGCTCGATCCCAGGACCCTGGGATCACGATCTGAGCCGAAGGCAGACGCTTAACCGACTGAGCCACCCAGGCGCCCCACCTCCTGTGTTTCTCAAACCTCATTCACTCACGCACCACCTCCAGGGTTCTCGCCAAACCCACAAAATACCCGTCCTGTTTTTTTTTACTTACTATTTTTCTTTAAAGTGATTGAATTTATTGCAAATGGAATTGTTTTATCATTGCAATAACCAGCAGGATCACTCTCCTTCAAACAGGTCACCCTGAAAACTAATGTGGCGATTAACCCATGTTACATTCCACGTGGCTACTACTGCACAAAGAGCCAGCCCTGTCCTTCTCAGAAAGGCAGACCGGCCTGCCCGGGGAGGTGTTTAAGACGGACTGGCACCACGCTGATACTTCCCCTTGGACACAGAGAGGAAGGTCTGAAGAACCGAAGAGAACCCTCTCTCCGTAGGATTGGCTGCGCGCCAACATCTCTGCCACCGACCACCCAAGTCCACCTCGGGACCGCAGGGTGGGCTGCCTGCCCCCCTTGAGGAAACATCTGGCTCGTGCAGGAAGCCACCACTGGGCAGTGGAAAGGAGCCAGGACCCTCTCCGAGGCTCGGTTTTCCCATCTGTACATGGGCATGATACCGCAGTGTGCAGTGCTGGGAAGATGACGTGTGACACAAAGGGATGGCTAGAAGCGAGGTGGCCCCTAGCAAGTGTCACTCCCTTCCTTCCCCACGGCCATTCCCTGCTCTTCTCCCAGAGACACTGCACTTGGAGTCCTGCCTTTTCTGGGAGAGAAGGCACCCCAGCTGGCCAGACGGGGAGAAGAAGTGAGCACTGCAAGTACACCATAGACTGCCAGGCCGGAGGGGACGGTGTTTCAGTTAGCAGGCTTCTCCTCCCTGCCTGCCCCTCAGCCCACCCTCATCTCAGCCTCCAGACCCCAGTGAAACAAAGAGTCCCCCCCAGCAACTGCAAGTGCCTTCTAATTCCAGCTCCGCTACTTACCCGTGAGGCAATTCTGGCCAGGAGACTCGGCTGGGAGCCCCGACTTCCCTTCCTGTGAAATGGGGATAATAACCTCAACCACACAAGGGTTGCCGAGAGGCTTGCGGGCTTAAGAGCGAGGCATTTCTAGAACCAGCTCCCCCACTGCTTCTCTCCACAGCCGCGGCAAGCAATGGCGTGGTGTCTCTCTGCCTCAGATGCCTCAACGGGCAGAATGGAAATGATGAGTTGTTGCCAGGAAGAAACGGGCGAAGGTGTGCAAAGCCCCAGTAGTCAGTGTTCAGTGGGTGTGAGCCCTCTACGTGATGCACAAGCACGCAGCACAATGCCTGACCCAGAGCCCGTGTTCCTCCTGCTCCCCACCGGGCTCTGTCCTGCCCTGTCCCTTCTCCTTCCGTGACCTCAGCGTGTCCCCTTTCTTAGCTACATCCCCCGGCAGCACCCTCAGCTCCTAGCCCCTGCCCTGGGGGGCCAACCCATGACTCTGCAGTGTCTGACCTAGATGCCAGGCTTCCCGGAGACGTCCACTCAGCCCAATCCAGATACAGAACAAACTGCGGATTTCACTGTGTTATTTACGACAGGTGAATACTAGAAATGACTTTTAGGTGTTTCAAACTAGAAGACTGGTGGAGGAATTATGTCATAATGGAATCCTGATAGCTATTACTATCACGCTCTGGAAACTATGAAATAATAAGGGAAAATGTTTATCTTTAAGTAATAAAATAGCAAGACTGAAATTGTATCTAGGAGATGATTATAATTAAGAACTCCTACCTTGTTAACCTACAGGAGAGAAAAGCAACTAACATTTATGTCTAGAAGGGCAAACTGGATGGGAATAGTGGTTTTCTTCGGATGGTGGTACGATGACTTATTACTGTCTTCTTCCAGATTTCCTTATTCCAACTTTTCTACATTGAGGATTAATTCTACAGTGACTAAAAAGAACACAAAGATGCAGAATTGTGTATGCTGTACTTCTCTTATGTCAAAAACATGCATATATATATAGTGCATATGTCTTTTGCATAAAGAAAATTTGGAAAGATACAGCATAACAAACAAAAGTGACCCCCTCTTTTGGGCAGGGTACTGGGCAGATGGGGGCCAGGGTGGAGTGAAGGTCTCCCTGTGCATCTTTGTATACTGTACTTCTGACCACATGAATATTCTCTCTAATCAGAAAGTGAAAAGAAAAAGAAAACATAACTATCGAATAAACCTTTAGCAAAGGCAGTATTTTCCCATATGGGCTCTGTGGACATTTGTTAAAGTTGCTACTTAAAAAAAACGAATTTGTGCTGGAAGTACAGGGTCTTAATGGTGCACCTGACAGAGCCCGTCAGCATGTGCTGGGACTGAGAGAGACTGGGGATTGCAGAGCTCCCAACAAGCCAAATAAGGTCCCTGCCTTATTTTTCCCATGGAGCCTACCCGAAGGATGATGCTCCCAGGACCAGTTTAGGGAGCACAGGGTAAGGGAAAGCTAGGAGGCTGGTCGTGCCTCCCTGAGCCAGGTAGGCTGTGTGTGAACTGTCTATACTCGCTATGAGACTGCAGGGTGTGGGCATGGTGACCCAGAAAGAGGATGCATGCCCTGGCCAGAGGGGTGGTCACTGTGGTCACTATGGGCCTAGTGCTAACAGACTGCCACATTCTTCAAGAGAAGTTGGAAATCCGGATTTTAAATGAAATCTTCTGGCTATAAAATAAAATATCCAAGCTTTTCAATGCAATCTCTCTCTCTCTCTCTCTTTTTTTTTTTTTCTAATATCTTATGGTTCCCTGCAAAAGTCCTCCACCAGCTGTGGGCTAGGAGCTCAGTGCGTTGCTGGTGTTCTCAGAAAGCCAGGTCAGCCCTGAGGATTTATTCCCTTTTCTAGCCACCCACCCTCTTTCATGATTGCTTTGAGAATTTTGCCCCAGATCAGCATCAAACTCATTGGCCAATTGCCCAGGGGACTTTGCCTTCCTTCTTGTTGAAAACTGGGCTGACACCCATCTATCTCTGCCCCGGGAGTGTGGAAAGGAGTCCGGGAGAGGCTGACTAACCCTAGCAACCAGCCCTCTCGTGGGGAGTGAACGCTCTGCGTCAGGCAGCGACAGTCAGTGGTGCTGCTCTGGGCTCTAATAGCCCTCTGATGCCAGTGTCTCTGCCCCTCCTGCCCTCTTCAGCCTCACTTTCCCTTCTTCTCCTGCCATCACACCCTCTGTGCACAGGCCTGCTAGAAAGTCTCATCCTTCCTCTAGCTCTCCATATTCTTGCACCTCAGTGTCTCTGCACATCCTGATCCCTGGGTCGGGATCACCCTCTCCTGCTGCCTCTACCATCCATCCCTCTGGCAGCTGGACAGTGTCACACTCAAACGGCAGCTCCTTGTGCCTTCTCTGTTGTAGCCAGCACCCCAAGGGGCTGGCATCCATTGCTCCTGGGCTGTTCATTATTTAGATTCCTCTTTCTCCTTCAACCCACACCCCTCTCACGTGCTTTCACCTCCCAAACAGCTTTTAAATCGGTCCCCTTCTCTCCCGCTGCAGTGTTCCAACCTTTATCCCAGCTCACCTGGATGAGGGCAGGGCTGTCCTGACTATTCCAGGTCTCAGCTCTCTCGTCAGCCCCACCTGTCTCCACTTTATCTGGGGAAAGGGCATTTTAGAAAACACAACCTGGTCACCTCTATCCCCTGCCTGAAATCCTTGTGTCGCTCCCCAGCCTACAGGACAAAGTCCAGACTCCTCAGTTTGGTATTGTGGGATCCGTTGCGGAATCCAGCTCTGCCGACTCCTCTGTTACCTCCTTCCCCTGCCCCTCACGCCTCCTGCAAAACCTAGCTGTCCTGTGTGCCCTGAGCACCCCAGAGGTTCTGTGGCTCTGTGTCTTTGTACACCTCTTTCTCCATCTCCATCATCCATTCTCCAAAGAATACTCTTTGTCTACCTGCTGCCCTCCCCATTCACCTCTACCCCCAGCTCTGTGAATCCTGTCCCGATTCCCCCAGGGCAGCAGGTTTGGAGGTTAGAAGGTTATTCTCGCAGCAAAGGTGGGCGATTCCCGGGCTGAAAGTGGCTGAGGTGTCCAGTCCTGGCTGGAGCCGTTGACGATTCTTCCTGCCGTTCCTGGAGGTTGGGCACCAGGTCAAGGCCGCCACATGTTCCTGGAGACCATCCCCACGGGGTTGGCGATAATCAGCCATGCTGCCTGCTCCAATCTGTGACCAGCTTGGCTCCAGCCACCTTTCCCTCACTGCCACGGCACCAGGCAGCGCTGTCACATGGAAGCTGGCATCAAAGGACAGAGTCAGAAAGGCTCTATGAGATCAGCCAGTGTGCCCCTGCCTGGTTTTCAGATGGAGCAGCTGGGGTCCAGAGAAGGACAGTGGCTTGCCTAGGGTCACACAGTGATGAAAGGTATAGCCATGCCCGGAGCCCAGCTCTTCCAGATCTTATCAGATAGTTAAAAAAAAAAAAAAAAAAAGATCAAAAGAAACCTTGAGATGTGCTAGCAAGGGCCTGGGGAGGAGAGCCTTGAAATTTTCAGGACAGGAAGGCCTCCCCGATGCTGAGCCCAGAGCTGCTATGC